AGAGTTCCCCTCCTTGAGCAAGAGTCTAGCAACGAAGACGGGACGACGGTGGCACAGTAGATCAACAGAGGAATTTGTCGCATGTATTTTCAACCCATGATGGAACCAAAAGGGTGCTGCTTTCAATCAACAACGATTTCAAAAACAAGGACCAATCAACGAGTCCAATGGCAACTCGCAATAGAGGCAGGGGTTTGGTTTCTGCTTGCGTTGTTGTCGCTGCCTCGGTATTATCGGCCCCGAGTGAGACGGGAACCGACGGCTGCGGTACAATCTGGTGCGCCAAAAAATGCTTTTGGAGCAGCAGGTGTTTGTTCCCTCGGCAGAGTGGAGGTTTTCGGTTACCACCCATGATGAAAGGAATTGCCGATTATTTTCAGCTCTTTTTCTATTGGTTGAAGGTCGAGTTTGCCCTCCCCGCTCGCATCGGAAAACCACACTTGATCACTGGTGCTTGGAGAGGGCTCCGCTGTGGAGCATCACCCACATTTTTTGGGGCTCGCTCTCCCCTGGGGCGTGCCTCTAGCGGATTCGGCGCTCTCACTGCTGGGCTTCACTGCCAAACCTCAGCAAGGTCCTAAGCGACAGGTACCTAAGGTGAGGAGGGCCTTGTTGCCGTGTGCCCTGGGCAAGGGAAAAAAAAACACCCCCCTCCTCCCATCCGCTTCCTTTTAATACTCAATCCTCCCCCCTCCTCCTCGATCTCTTCTTGCCCGTTGATTCTTCTCGTGTGCGAGCGTCTCCCTTTTTCTTCTTCCTAGTGATACCCTGACCCTCTCCGCTCTAATCACGCTCACACTCAATTGAGACGCTTCAGCCTTGAGTGATCAACACCTTCACCATGCTTGCTACCCGCCAGGTTCTGGGCAATGTCGCCCGGAGCCGCGTCCTCGCGGGCGCCGCCTCTGGCATTCGCCGTCTGGCGACTGTCTCTGACAGCCCTCTCGACAAGAAGGTGAGCAAGATTCTACTCTCAGCAGCTTGTGTTTTGCGCGAACGACTCGACGCTTGGCGGTTCTCTGGTGTGGCATGTAAGCCGCTCATCCGGGGAACTCCCAGACGTCATTGCGCGCCGATCGACCTGAGCCGTCAAATCAACAGTGATTTCGACCACAGGCAGATTTGCGCGCTGTGGTGCAATTGCAGCAATAGTACCAGCAGTTTTCACTTCAGCCAGCTTCAACATGCTCAAATCAAGTTTTGGGGGAACAATTGAACTGACTCGTGCCATCTTGGCCCCACTATAGGTCCGCCAGAACCTTTGGGAGGAGAACAACTTCATCAACTACAAGAAGATGTCCGAGAACCTCGACATCGTCCGCGCCCGCCTTAACCGACCCCTGACCTACGCCGAGAAGATTCTGTACTCTCACTTGGATGATCCCCATGGCCAGGAGATTGAGCGTGGCAGCTCTTACCTCAAGCTCCGACCTGACCGTGTTGCTTGCCAGGATGCCACCGCCCAGATGGCTATCCTCCAGTTCATGTCCGCTGGCATGGACGCCGTCGCCAACCCCTCCACTGTCCACTGCGATCACTTGATCGAGGCTCAGATTGGTGGTGCCAAGGATCTTGCCCGTGCTGTCGACATCAACAAGGAGGTCTACAACTTCCTTGCTACTGCTTGTGCCAAGTACAACATTGGTTTCTGGCGCCCTGGCTCCGGTATCATTCACCAGATTATTCTTGAGAACTACGCTTTCCCCGGCGGTCTCCTCATCGGAACTGACTCCCACACTCCCAACGGTGGTGGTCTTGGTATGGCCTGTATCGGTGTCGGTGGTGCTGATGCTGTCGATGTCATGGCCAACCTTCCCTGGGAGCTGAAGGCCCCCAAGGTCATCGGTGTTAAGCTGACTGGTCAGCTCAACGGCTGGACTGCCCCTAAGGGTAAGTGATACCCGCGCTCCTTCCACTGTCGATGATCGTCGACGGTTAGTCATTCATGGACCCACTTATTAACAACACCACAGACATTATCCTCAAGGTCGCCGATATTCTCACCGTCAAGGGTGGCACTGGTGCCATTGTCGAGTACCATGGACCTGGAACTGAGACCTTCTCAGCGACTGGCATGGCAACGATCTGCAACATGTTTTGTCTTCCCGATTCCTGATCTCGTCGAATCGTTTTGCTAATTCGTTTCAGGGGTGCTGAAATCGGCGCTACTACTTCTCTCTTCCCTTTCAACGAACGTATGTTCGACTACCTTGCCGCCACCAAGCGAACCGACATTGGAGAGTTCGCCCGCTCTTACGCCCACGGCCTCCGATCGGACGAGGGTGCCGAGTACGACCAGCTGATTGAGATCAACCTTTCCGAGCTCGAGCCCTACATCAACGGTCCCTTCACCCCTGATCTGGGAACCCCCATCTCCAAGTTCAGCCAGGCTGTTAAGGACAACGGCTGGCCCGATGAGCTCAAGGTCGGTCTGATTGGCTCTTGCACCAACTCCTCTTACGAGGATATGTCCCGCGCCGCCTCTATCGCCCGTGATGCCCTCGACCACGGCATCAAGGCCAAGGCTGCCTTCACTGTCACCCCCGGTTCTGAGCAGATTCGCGCCACCATTGAGCGTGACGGTCAGCTCCAGACCTTCGAGGAGTTCGGTGGTATGGTTCTCGCCAACGCTTGCGGTCCCTGCATTGGTCAGTGGGACCGACGCGATGTCAAGAAGGGCACTGCCAACTCCATCATCTCCTCCTACAACCGTAACTTCACTGGCCGAAACGACGGCAACCCCGCCACCCACTCTTTCGTCGCCTCCCCCGACATGGTCGTTGCCCTGACCATTGCTGGCTCCCTCCACTTCAACCCCCTCACCGACACCCTCAAGGACAAGGACGGCAAGGAGTTCAAGCTCTCTCCTCCCACCGGTGACGGTCTCCCCGTTCGCGGCTACGACCCCGGCCAGGACACTTACCAGGCTCCCCCCAAGGACCGTGCCAGTGTCACTGTCGATGTCTCCCCCACCTCCGACCGTCTCCAGATCCTTACCCCCTTCCAGCCTTGGGACGGCAAGGACGCTAAGGACCTCCCCATCCTCATCAAGGCCAAGGGCAAGACCACCACTGATCACATCTCCATGGCCGGTCCCTGGCTCAAGTACCGTGGTCACCTTGACAACATCTCCAACAACATGTTGATCGGTGCCATCAACGAGGCCAACGATGAGGCCAACAAGATCCACAACTTCACCAACGGCGAGTGGGGTGCCGTTCCCGCTGTCGCTCGTGACTACAAGGCCAAGGGCATCAAGTGGGTTGTCATTGGTGACTGGAACTACGGTGAGGGTTCTTCCCGAGAGCACGCCGCTCTTGAGCCCCGTCACCTTGGTGGTCTTGCCATCATTACCCGATCTTTCGCCCGTATCCACGAGACCAACCTGAAGAAGCAGGGTATGCTGCCCCTGACCTTCACTGACCCCGCCGACTACGACAAGATCCGCCCTGAGGACAAGGTATGTTGCTCTTCTACAGCGTGTTTCATAGCATCAACTAACTCGATACCAGGTCGACCTTCTCTGCACCAAGCTCGAGGTTGGCAAGCCCTTCCCCATGATTGTCCACCCCGCCGATGGCAGCCCCTCTTTCGAGATCCCTCTGTCCCACACCTTCAACGAGCCCCAGATTGAGTGGTTCAAGAACGGCTCTGCCCTCAACACCATGGCCAAGGCCTCCAAGAAGTAAATAACGGAAGATGATGAACAGGAAGGAAAGAAGGAAATGAAGCAGTGAAATAGTTTGGGTCACAACTGGCGTATATCCTGCATGCTCTCTGGGGTTTGGTTTTTTGAGAGCAGACAGTAGAGGGGCTGATTGACGAACGGTGTCGGTTTTACACTGTCGCTCGCCCATGTTTTACTTTTACACCTCGTTGGAACGGAATAGCCTTGATTTTCTAGGTTGTACAAAATCAAAACTGTTAAAGCATTGTTCCGAGTTGCTCTGTGATGGTGTCATTGTGGTCTTAAGGATGTGATGTGTTATCTATACATATTGAAAGCTGGCTCGTGGATGAAGCACGAGGGACGAGTTGTGAGGCGCTTTCTTATCCCTGCGATGCTCCATGGCCACTTAGAAAGTGAAGTCTATGACAAGATGGCCTCGCGGACTGACTTCCCTAAGCAGGTGCCGTAAGATCAATGTGGGCAGTACATCATCCATGAAGGCCGAATGCCACGACGTTGTTGCCTCTGGAGTGCCCATGAAGGCCGCCAGACGAGCTCACTGGAAACAACGCGAATGACAAAGCTCTCCTCTAAACTTCTCGCATACGTCCATAATTTAGGATGAGGATCTATGTAAAATCATTTATTTAATAGAGTAAGTCATCATAAAATGAGGTAGTATTCTCATGCCCTTTGATGTTATTTTATGATCTTTCTCAAGACTTAGGATACACTCATCATGCTCGTACGCGGACTCCTCGGTCTCTCTGTGAGGTACGTCATTTGAGATCTGCACCACCAAATCTTAATCAAGTTAGTCAGCGGCACTGGCGCAAGGATGATCACGTGCTGATAAGCCTAAATCAGCCACCCCATGTTCATCAAGGGACCTGCTGTCCAGTTTCACTTGGCCATCGCATCTTCAAACTTGGACTCTTGCGATATCTAAGTTGTTGGGTCGAGGTGTGGTTCGAATTACTCCGTTTCAGCTTCTCTTTCTCTTTGAGAGCGTCTTTTCCCCGGTCGCTCATTCTTCCTCCCTCGATTCCGTCGTATCCGTCCCAGCGAAGAACCACCCGGCTGCTCCGTGCAGCGCGAATCGCGACAACATGCGGCCTCGACTTCAAAACTTTAACACGTTGCGAGCGCGATCCTACGTGACACGACTGCCGCTCTTCACCCGGCTTATTGTTCTTGTCATTGTCGCAGCTTGGATTGCCTCGGTGCAATCAGTATGGGACTTGAGAGAATGGGGCGCCCTCATCCCTGACCAGATCAGCATCACTTCAGGCAAGCTTTAGAACGATCGATTCTCTTGTGTAGCGCTAACATGGCTTGTGAATTAGCATATCGACTTTCGACGTTTCCCTTAATACACCTCAATTTCATCCATATGATCCTTAATGTCTTGGCCCTGACGCCTTTGATGGAACGATTCGAGAACGAACACGGAACTTTGATCTCGGTCGCATTGTTCTTTGGACGTAAGATATAGTTGCTTCTCCGGACTGGATCTTTTGCTAACTTCTGGCTATAGCTTTGACGTCGATCCCTGCCGTCGTCTACGTGATCATCGAGCGATGTATTTTCCGAGCGAACAATTCGATACTGGGAGCGAGGTGAGATTATACTACCCTGACGTCCTCTACGTGCGAGGAACATGGCTAATAGGCATATAGCATGTGGGTGTTTACCTTGCTTGCCATAGAGTCCATTCGAACCTACAAGGCCAACCCTCACTTCGTCATTGGCACAGTTAACATTCCCACGTGGACAACTCCCTTGATTATGTGTTTGGTGGTGGCCGCATTGGTACCCAGGACAAGTCTTCTTGGCCATCTATGCGGCGTGGGCATCGGATACGTCGGTAAGTCTCCTCTTCACGTGTAACAAATCCAATGCTAACAGACTTGATAGCTGGCTTCGGCTACATCAAGTTCCTTGCTCCTCCTGAGTGGGCGCTCCGATGGATCGAGAAGCGACTAAACCTTCTCAAGATTCTGCCTCACTACGTCAGCATCGATAAGACGACATATGGCCGGTTTGGCGTGCTCCCCACGACCAACCGCCCCGGCCCCAGTGGAAGCGCCGCAACGGAGCTTGTGGGCACTACTCAGCGTCTCGGACCTTGAGTAAGGGCGTATGAAACTGTGCGCTTTCATGTTGTTTGACTGTGTACTAGTACAACGGCGCTGGTTGCGTATTTTCTCGTTTTCCTCTTATTTGTACTATAGAAAAGGGGGGTTATTCTTGGGCATCTTTTTTTAATTCGGGCTTGGCGTGGTGATCAAAAACGAAGGAATGAATGGATGATTTAAGGTGGTCGCCTTCTTCTCTAAGTTGTTGCGAGCCGCCTTGGATAGTAAGCGTGGGTAAAACCAAAGTCTTGGTTGTGATTGAAGATTATAGAAACAAGAGCTCTAATTCGAAGATGTATGGCATCTGCTCAGTTATGACTATCATCACATCACGGTTTATCATTTTATTACTTACTACCTTGCTGCGCCCTTGATGTGTCATGGGATGGATGGGCTTTCGTGAACGACGGAACCCGAGTTGATGATATTTTTCGGAATTAGTGTAGACATCACAGTATGTTCGGCTGTGTTGCGCATCTTAAGAGGGCAAAACATGTTTATTTTCTCAAGTCTCGAGATGGTGTAAAGACTTGGAGCAGTGTTTGACCTTGGTACCTGCCCTCTGTATGGGCAACTTCCATTCCTCATCAGTTCGGCTTCACGACTAGACCTATCTTCTGATACCAGGACGTTACTATCTTATACTGCCGCACTTTTGAAATGACGAGCAGAGTGTTTCAATCTCTCAACAACTATCTGGCCATCCTTCTCATGGCTACTGACGAATTCCATCTCCCATAGAGGCGCATTTCCGTGTCGCCCAGCCACTCATTCTTTCCCATACGCATGAAAATTAACCCTCCTTCTTCGCCTTGAAGTAGCTGGGAGCCTTCATGACCTCCTCGAGCAAAGCTTGTTCTCGAGGTTCAGTGGTGTTCCTCTTCTCTCTCTCAACCAACCTCCTGACCCTCTTCAGCCACTCGAGTTGATCGTCACTTAATTCCGGTCTGGTTTCTGGTGGCGGATGTTCGGGTGTTGACAGCGCATCTCGCTCTCGAGAAAGCGTGTTTACAGCTTCGTCCAGCCTTGCCTCGGCCTCGTTGACATCCTCGCCCTTGGCCTTGGTATCTTTGACCTGAGCTGCGGCCTTGCGGACATCGTTCAACATATCGTTGATCGCTGCTCACTCATGATTAGTATTGTGTTTCAAATCCGCCTGCTTTGGGATAGGCTCTTACATTTGGAGGCAGAAGTTCCGTCTGTTGCCATCTTGTCTCTTGGTTGCCTGCGCGTTCTGTGTCCAATTAGTGAACCCTGCTCACCATTCACTCAGTACATCTGATGTGAGGCGCAAAGGCGAAGACTTACCACACAGTGATCTGAATAGCTTGCCGGAGGTGTGTTTCTAGGCGTGTGAGGCGAAAAAGGGCTGGAGCTCAGAGAGAGTGATTGAGGAGAAGGTGAAAGAGTCAGGTTGAGGGACAACTGATGATCCTTATGTAGTTGGGCGTTCGAGGCGACAGTGAATCACAGCCGAAAAACAGACCAACACTGGCAGTAGCGAATATGCTTACGTTTGAGAGAATAATGTTTGATCGTACGGTAACTAGGTACTGCGCCTGTGGCATAAAACACAGTAAAGATGAAGCCCGCTGTGCCAGGAACGATGCGAAACAAGATGAAACGGGAAGAAAGGAGGAACGGTAGACACTGCTAGAAGAAGAACAAATGGGATAAAAATAATTGATTAGATTTAATTGATGCCAAGTTTTGTAAATAGAATACTCTTGCATCGCGACCGATTAAAGAGTGTCTTCTCCTCGCAAGCAATGCAAGCATTCGCCTCGTTTACACACCCAACACATACATAAGAGCAAGCAGCTTGACATAAACTGATTGATGAACATGACTGAAACTGGCCATCATACAAAGAGACAAAATTTCACAGTGGAAACGGAAGCTTGCGACTCTTTGGCACAAACGACGACTGTTCATCATGGGTTCAAGTGTCTGTCATCAGGATCTCACTTGGAACTGACGTGTGGGCGCCGAGCGAGGGGAACTGAGCCATCTGCGCTGTGACATAACGTGGGAGTATGAATTTATGTGTTCAAGGAGCTCAAATATACAAAAATAAATCGTCGAATTATTGATAATTGATAGAATCAAGATAGTATATTTGTTGTCTTTACTATGTCTCCCACTTGAGCTTCAACCCCCGGGAAATACATAGACCGCCCCGCCGGACATGCAGGCACCCGGCCGAGCCTTCCACCTCTGGGCGGGCCATTCTGGAGATGGGTGAGCTGTCCGGAAAAGGTACGTACCTCGATTTACGGGATGCAGTTGCATTCACTGGATTGGATCTTAAACTTGAACGACAAGTTGGAGGATTGAGACGACAAAGTCGCTCGTCGCGCAAACTCTCTGCCTAGCCATGTCGCGGTTACTCTGTGAGAAGCTTCCCCAAGCTCTAACTTCCTGTCCGTGGACTCCGGCTGACCCGTTTTAGCATCGGCGTTCTCGCTGCGTCGCGATCCTCGAATCTTGAAGCTTCCCCCTTACCTGTCCTTCCTTTGTATCGCAATCGGCGTCGTCTGGTTGTTCCTTCTTCCTCTTAACGAATACTCGCGACGGACGTACATCTCGGAGAACGCGCTGCTGCCGGGGCAGGTGCATACATATTTTGGAGGGAGTGAACAGAACATCTTGCGCGCGTATCGTCATGAGGTTGATGACGTGGTGGGCAAGAGCAACTACGAGTGCGTTCTCCATTTCAGATACGAGCTTCAATTGGGACGGGCGCTAATGGTCTTGGGATTGGTAGGATTAACGACAGACTTGACGAGATCCTGACGGGCGTTGGCCTCAAGGTTGGCCGTCAGAACTACACGTATCACTCAGCGGGTCACGAATACTCGGGGCAGAACCTCTATGCGATCCTCCAAGCTCCCCGAGGTGATGCTACCGAGGCCATTGTCTTGGTTGCTGCGTGGAAGACTATCGAGGAGCAGCTCAACCGCAATGGCGTGTCCTTGGCTTTGACCCTGGTCCGTTACTTTAAGCGTGCGTCAACATCTCTCTAAAGACGTGCGGATGAGGAAACTGACAAATCGAAATAGGTTGGTCACTCTGGTCCAAAGATATTATCCTTGTTGTCCCTCCTGACAGCAAGACCGGCACTCAAGCTTGGGTTGACGCATACCACGATGCTCACAACCCTGACCTCGTGGCGCCTCTGCCTCTGAAGTCTGGAGCTCTGCAGGGCGCCATCGCCATCGACTACCCTCAAGAGGAGAGATTCAAGGCAGTGCACATCATCTATGATGGTGTCAATGGACAGCTGCCTAACCTCGATCTCATCAACTCCATTGTCAACATCGGCGGCGGTCAGATGGGTATCCCCACCACCATCCAGGAGATGACGCAGCACAAGGGGAGCTACCCGGATCGTTTGCAGACCATGCTGCGTGGTATGCTCAACCAGGGACTTGGCTACGCGGCCGGTGCTCATAGCAGCTTCATCCCTTACCACGTCGATGCTGTGACGTTGCAGCCCTATGGTGAAGGATGGCATGATGACATGGGCATGGGTCGTCTCGTCGAGGGTTCGTTCCGAAGTCTGAACAATCTCCTCGAGCATCTGCACCAGAGTTTCTTCTTCTACCTGTTGATGCAGACGGACCGATTCGTCAGTATTGGCACTTATCTGCCTAGCGCCATGCTGTTGGCTGCCAACTTTACCATCATGGCCATATCACTCTGGGTCAAGAGCGGCCAGTCATCGACAACCGCGCATAAGCCCAAGGAGACCAAGGGATCTGCTTCGGCTGTTGAAACTGCGCAGTCAGGAAGGGATCTCTTCCTGCCACTTATTATTGTCGCCATCTGCCATGCTCTCCCAGCTGTGCCTCTTTACACCTTTAACCATCTTCCTGCTGGTGTAAGTCTTGACTCACTAAACTTCAACTGTATATCGCTGACAACTCATAGCTACTTTCACCTGCCTTTGCCATCTTCTCTGTCGTCTCAGCCGTCATCCCCTTTGCCATCTCCCGCCTGCTCTCAATCTTCTCCAAGCCCACCATTCAGCACTTCCAGATCACAAAGTCCTTCTCCCTGCTTGTCCTGGGCATGTGCCTCTCCACCCTCGCCACTCTCAACTTCTCCCTCGCCTTCCTCGTTGGCCTTCTAGCCAGCCCGCTTAGCTTTGTCCAGCCTGTCAAAACCCCAGTCCTGCGGTGGTCTCTGGCCGGCCTGCTCAACATCGTGGCGCCATCTACGGTGGTATACGTCGCGGCTCAGGCCTGGGGAATCAGCATGACCGACCTGTTGAGTGAGGCGAGCTTTGGCTGGAACGTATGGGGCATGTATACACCTGTGGTGGTTTGGTGTTTGTGGTGGCCTGCTTGGCTCGTGGGCATGATCAACGTCTTTGGAGAGGTTTCGGCGTAGAGTGGTTGGAATTCGGTTTGTGTAAGATATGTCGCAGAGAGCCGACACTTAGAGCCCTAAAGGGATGATCTATACTCATAAGCTACTGGCATTACATATAGACTAGCTAGTTTCAAGATTTACTGTCATTGGAATAACCATCAGACTATGATTAGGAGAACCACGACTGTTGCTCCTAAGGGGTGACTACAGCCCAGTGGAATTCTCGGTGATCTTCCTTAAAGTAGTCTGGGGCAATAGCACGAGAAGAGTCCTGAGTAACTGGAACTCATAACATGGGATGGACTCGTATAATTAATAGTTGTCCTCTGGGCAGGATCATCAGCTGCCCACATAGATGTTTCTATCTGTCTACTGTACAGGGTTCGTTTTGTTGCCCTCATGCCACACCGTCTTCACTCATCTTCTTGTCTATGCAGCCCACACATCCTTGCCAGCCGACTCGATCCAGTTGCCGAGTTGGTTGACGCTCGAGTCCCAGTCCAGCAGTCGCTGGCGCATGGCGGCAATCTGCTTCATATCCAATACCTTGGGCTGAACCCAGGTAATGTGCGCCACGCCATCAACCTGGTCGATGGTACCCCGGAGAAGACCCAGGCTCAGGGCCTTCATGATGAGATGCTCAATCTCCTGTGGTCGAACCTTAGTCTCCTGGGAGATGGTAGCAAAGGTCATGGTTCGGTCATGAGGGGGGCGGCGGAAGACGGCCTCAGTGAGAGCCGAGAGGTAGATCTTCTGGCGAAGGTGGGTAGAGTTGCTGCTCAGGAGCTTGTTAGACTCGACACGATCAGAAAGTCTCTCGTAGGCCGCAAGATCTCCGCGGTTGAAAGCGAAAAGGAGCTCGCGCATCCAGGCGTGCTCGCTCTTGGCAAGGACATCGAGGATGGGATGGAGGAGCAGCTCTCCAAAGTTGTAGATGCTGGTAGAGACCAGGGCGGCGATGCTGAGATGGTAGGCCCGCTTGTATCGCTCCTGGGGAGAGAGGGAGGCGACATCGATGCAGGCAAGGTAGAGGAGGGCAGTGCGGTAGTAGTTGGAGAAGTCCATCTTGAGCTGTGGAGGGGTTAGTAGGGGTTCGGGTATGAATATTGTGACACCGTGGTCATGGGTTCCTAGGAAGTGAACATACCTGGTAGTAGGTGGCATTGGCGTCGTAAAATGAGGCATGGACAATGTTCTCGACGGAATCGAAGGAGTCCAGTATCCTCTCGGCGGTGTCGAGATCCTTTCGTGCACTGTCTAGCTCCTCAAGGTCGAGCTTCGCCCGAGCGACAGCAACCAGGGCAAAAACGTATGCATCTTGCGAGTTCTCGTTGTTGACCTTCTTGGCGACCGATTGCAGGAATTCCAAACGCTCCTCATCCTCTGCAGTTCAAAGACATCATGGGTTAGCACAACGCCGGCTTCGGAGGGGCACACAGCAGGGTTCCTTACCATCGCACTCTGTCGCCGCCTTCAACGCCAGTTCCACGAGCTTTAGCTGGTTGATCTTGTCGGCAAACTTGAGGATGAAGACTCTGTAGAAGGCTAGCCGCTTGGGGGCGCTTCCGGGATGGCTGAAGAACTCGACGAGGGCCTCGGTGAGCTGGTGCCAGAGCTTCCGCTCCCAGTAGTTCTCAAAGTCGAGGATGAGAGGCTGGAGCTCCTCGGGAGCTTCATCACGCTGCTCGGCGAGGAAATCGGGGATGGCGTCGGCGCTCATGATGGCGGGATGTGTGAGAGTTGGTGGGTTGTGACGTGTGGATGGTGAGCACAGCAACAATAGCTAGCTTGCACCTTGAGATCTCGAGCTTTTAGTTCCGGATCGGCACAAATTCTTCCCTAAAAATCGGCGCGGTAATCGATGTGTTTCCTTCGTGATGGTGACGGCGCCGTTCTAGGCAGCCAGAGCAAGTTGGTCGGTTCGGGGTGTTTGTTCAAGGTTGATAGTTCGTTGCTTCTGTGGAGTTGGAGGGAGGTCCTTAGCTCATCAATGAGGCTGCCAGGCAGCCTGGTGTCGCAACACTCAAGGGCGCACGGACCAATTCTTCCCTTGGAATCCCGCTAGCCAATAACGAGCTGCAAGATTTCATTGACCCATCACGTGACCTGGAAATAGCGTTCCCCGAGGCTCTACATTGCCCAGCATCACCAAACATTGCTGCTGTGAAGACGAGACGATCCACGGCCAATTGCGAGGCACAGCAGCGTCTTCCCACGCAATCTGTATAATCGCAACCATGGTTTCGCCCCTGCTTGCCGCGCGGTCGGCCCGCAATGTCGCCCTCAATGTCACGGGCAAGCGATTCCTCTCCGACATCTCTATTACCCGAACCGGGAAGCCCATCATCCGAGTTGAGGGTGGCCGGTGAGTCCAACCACGATCCATTGGCCCTTTGAATCATGTTACTGATGCTTTCCTCTGTCTAGTTCATCCCTTGGAGGTGCGACGATCGAGCTACGATGCCCATGAACGACGCTGACGATTGACAACCAGGCCACACTGTTACGGTATTTGGCGCAACCGGCCAGCTGGGACGATACATTGTGAACCGTCTTGGTGAGAAGACCCGGCCTTTACGAGTTGATGCAGGAAAGGAAGGACAGAAAGACTAACCATTGTCTACCAGCCCGTCAGGGATGCACCGTCGTCATTCCCTACCGCGAGGAGATGACCAAGCGTCACCTCAAGGTCACCGGAGATCTCGGCCGCGTCGTCTTTGTCGTATGTTCAATCCCTTCGATCTCGACCATAGCCTCGCTATAACTCTCGCCTTTAGGAACACGACCTTCGAAACACCCCCTCGATCGAGGCCAGCGTCAGGCACTCGGATGCCGTTTTCAACCTGATTGGCCGTGATTACCCGACCAAGTATGTTTCTTCGAGAGGACGAGCACGAGGGCGAGCAAGGAAGCTAAGCTGGCATCAGGAACTTTTCTCTGGAGGATGTCCACATTGAGGGAACCGAGCGAATTATCGAGGCCGTTGCCAAGTACGATGTCGACCGATACATCCACGTTTCGTCCCACAGCGCCAACTCCCAGTCCACCTCCGAGTTCTACCGCACCAAGGTACTTCGACTGCTGCTTCAACGAGGGAATGGAATTGACCAGTGTATCAGGGCCGAGCTGAGGAGATTGCCCGGGAGGTGTTCCCCGAGACCACCATCGTCCGACCCGCCCCCATCTTCGGCTTCGAGGACAACCTTCTGCTCAAGTTGGCTGGTGTGACCAACCTCTTCACCTCCAACAACATGCAGGAGAAGTTCTACCCCGTTCACGTAGGTGACGGAGTCCTGGTGGATATGGAATGGTACTGACTCTGTTAGTCAATTGATCTCGGAGCCGCCCTCGAGAAGATCTTCTACGATGACACAACCGCCGGACAGACTTTCGAGCTCTACGGACCCAAGCAGTACAGCATGCGCGAGATTGCCGACATGGTGGACAAGGAAATCTACAAGCAGCGACGACACATCAACGTTCCCAAGGCTATCCTGAAGCCCGTTGCTGAGATCCTGAACAAGGTGCTCTGGTGGCACACCCTGTCGGCCGATGAGGTTGAGCGAGAGTACATGGACCAGGTCATTGACCCTGAGGCCAAGACTTTCAAGGATCTCGGAATCGAGCCCGGCGACATTGCCAACTTTACCTACCACTACCTGGTGAGTGACCCAGTTTGAAGTATCAGGACCATATCTGACCCCCTTATAGCAAGGATTCCGAAGCCAAAACTTCTACGATCTCCCTCCTGCGACGGAGAAGGAGAAGCGGGAAGAGAAGAAGTACATCCACGTCTTGGATGAGTTGTAAAGAAAAGGAATCGAGCTTTGGTCTTTTGAATGCTGGAGAGGGAAGTGGTAACTTTGGGCAGTTGGGAGGCTGCTGAGCGGACAGGCCGACAATAGTCCGTGTATATAGGACCGCATAGACTAGAGAGTGTGCGAGTTCAAACAATTGTACAGGTTTTCTTTTGGTTGAGACGTGTTGCAGTGTCAGATGAGGTTCTTGGAGTGTGATGCCCCATGCTAGAGATTTGTATTCCAGGAAGTTCCCTAGAGTGCGACCACCTTCGAGAGAGATAGGAATCAACTGAGAATAGTCAGTTAGGGGCCAACTAGGGAGGCTATATCGGCTTCCAGAGTTGAAGTCTGTTGAGTCAATGGTAGGGATAGGTTGATGACTTTTGATGACAACCAGAGAGTCGTAGAGCGTTGTTTCAACTGCAAAACATTACAAAATTGTTAATGTATATAAAGATTCAAGAGAGCCTATATTTTTTAAGTGAATTGCTCACATCTACCTACCTGTCGAGATTTCTAACAGCGCCTAGTTAGAGGTGTAAGTATACAGTGCGTTCGTCACTCCGTACGCGAAAATGCACTGTCTGCAAACCTCTCCTTCAGGCTTTGCTCTCACAAACGACTAACACCAACTCTTCACGACCACCACCGCAAGTATCAAAAGCCACACCGCCAGGCCTGATCACATAATAAAGAGTATTTACACCCTTGAAACACATCAAACTTCCAACAATGTCTTCCAAGCCCAATAACCAGGCTTCCGCCGAGTTCACATCCTACTATCTACAGCGAGCCACGCAGGAGCTCTCGGAGGACCTCGACAAGGTCCGCAACGCCGAGGACTTCAAGGCTGACTCGATTCCCTTTCTGGTTCATGCCCTTCAGCAGGGCGCGGGGCTCTTTTCAGCGGAGGATCAAAAGAGAGTTGTCGATGGGTCGAAGGGCAAGGATGGAGATGCTTGAGTTGCGGCAGGGATCTGAAAGCTGCAAATCACATCTTCTGCCGGATTGGGACGAGTGGATGGAAAAATTCCGATGGACGGCCATTCAGAACGTCCTACCAATGGACCAAAGGCACAACCAATATTGCGTCTCATCTCAAATCAACATCACGAATCGCCAGGGCCAACACGTATCAACCAAGACCAGCAATTCTTACAACGTCAGTAAGATTCAATCGTTTCACGACAAATAGAGCCATTAGGGAAAACAAAGGAGTTCAGGTTGCGATCAAAAGGCCGTTATTTCATGAAGGGTATCTCAAAGCAGACTCATCGCGACAACAAAAGCGCGCCGCGATGCAATCAACTAGGTATCTATGCAACTCCTGCACACTCCAAATAATGCAAGACTTGATATCAATCAACAGTGTCTGTGTCTAAGCCGCCTGGGAGCGGCGTCGCTCCAGTCGCACTGCCCAGCCCTTGATGGCCAGGACGATGACGATCCAGGCCATCAGCAGTCCGACCAGGCCCATGGTGACGGTGTACATGAACATGGCGTCTAGGTCGTAGTGAATCATTCCTTCAACGGTGTCAGAGCTCTGCTCTGGGTTAGCTGTTATCTCAGATATAGGGGCAGAGTGCACTTACGCTTGCCATGAAGATGATGCCTCCGGAGATCAAGCCGAACGAAGCAAGGAGCTCGGTGGGAGGTCGAGAGGGGAGAATCGACTTGGGTGGCTTGAGGAACATAAGGAGATATGTAAGGCCTCGAGCAAGCGAAGCCCCGAGAAGCAGGTTGCCCCATTGCTTGTGGACCATGCTCGAAATCATGGTGTGCTGCTTGTGCGAGCTCATCATGATGCCCAGCAGGAGGATGACCAAGGCAGGAATGGGGTTGAGGGAGAACTCGTAAGTCTCGGGTGCCTTTTGTTCATCTGCTTCTTCGTCGATGTAGGGGTGCTTCGGCTCGATGTCGTCGACGGTTGTGTTGAGGAGATCGCGAATTCGGGTAGACTCGACGAGCATTCCGCACTGGAACAAATTGTCAGTCTTCGAACTTTCAAGACTCGTACTAAAGTGTGCACAGAATTGACACTTACCATGCCGCCACCAATAAACAGGACCGTGATGGAGATGTGCTCCATGTCCTGAGCAGTCCAAGCACCTCCCCAGCCGCCGAGATGCTCAAGGAAGATGTTGGTAGAGCCATAAAAGAAGATGAGGAAGCTCTCTACAAACTCGGCAGAAGGTCGCCACTTTTGTGACCCCTTCTTGGGGCGAACGTTCCATGCCCAGCCAAGCTCGCCGAAGCTGCCAGACCAACGACCCAGGGTGAAGACGCCCAGCCAGAAGAAGACGCCACCCTTGATCCAATGCGCGAGGCCGTTGAAGACGTCTTCTCCTTCCTATTAAAGGGGTGTTAGAGGAGTTCAAGTGGAAGCCTCAGGGGGCGACTTACAAAGAAGCGACCGAAAGTAACTACACCTGTCGCCAGCGCAACGAAGCCGAAGGGGAGAATAATGCGATCAATGATCTGTCGTCCAATGTTGAGATACTTCCACACGCGAGAAGCAACGACCTTGGAAGCGTGACGAGCGAAGGCGCCCTTGGTAGGCGGAGAGGAGAGAGACATGGACTCGAGGTCACCGTCGTCGTCTTCCTCGTACTCCTTTCTCGGGCTCTCGAGGGGAGATTCCTCCAAGCCATCGAGGGTCGAAACAGAACTGCTTCGGAGAGAAGCAGTGTTGCGCTCTGTTCCCTGACCACTGTCACCAGAGTGTCGATAGGGGCTGTCAGCGAGGTAACCCTCGGGGAGTCGGAAACCGTGGTGACTAGGAGCTTCAGTTGGCACTGGGAGAAAGGCCTGCCTGTCACTACTCGTCTTCTTGGCTTCCCCTCGCAACACCCCAGCGACCCATCCCACAAGGCTCACGAGAACCTGCGCCGAGACAACCCAGGTCGCGATCCAGCCAATCTTGTGGTGCGCATTGTTTGGGTAGAGGTCCGGGGTCTGGGCGTTGTAGATGACGCCCAGGAGCAGCCCCAGGGCATTGGAGGCCAGGAATACGAACTGCACAGGCACAGTGAAGCGCGATCTCGCCAAAGAAAGAACGACAGCTATAGAGATGCGTCAGTGGCTGGCGCAAAGCTTGTGAGTTGCAGCGGGCC